CAAAGATACTATGGGTTTCCCATTATGTTGTTTTGCCAGAGCTGTGATCTTGGGGGTGGGCTGGGTATGGGATCAATGGAAATGTCTGAGCATGTGTCACACTGTTCACATCCCCAGGTCCAGCCAACCACAGTCACTAGAGATTTCGGGGGAGGGGAGAGGTTGGATTTATGACTGTCTATCCACACCTCCTTCCTGGCTCCTTATGATCTAGAAGGCACATTCTCAGTACCCCTGTCCGGCTCAGAAGTACTATAGTGGGTATATAGCTGTGGTCTTGTTTCTTCCATCCAGGGGTATGTACTTGTAGGGAGCCAACATTCAGCCACACCTTCCTTAGTAGCCAGGCCTCTGACAAGACTGACCAAGGCCAGGAGGCAGCTTTACTTATGTGCTTTGAGACATGACACACAATACTTAGGTCTTTGTACCAGGTTCCATTAACTGGGAGGAAGAGGTGTGTGCCCCTGCCTACCCTTCCTTAGGGTTCTTCCGCAGTTTGCTTCACCCAGAGTAAAAGGGTTCATCTTCTGTCTTGCTTCAGTCTCAGTCCTCTAGGTTTTTTTTACCTCCTTTGAGTCTTATAAAATGGCTGTGTGTATGTGTCTGTCTGTCTGTACTAGGGATATGGCTATAAACAAATCAGCTGACTGCTAACATTTGTACTCTGTTATCTGCTGGGGATTTAAGTTTCTTGTGCTCCCTCATCTGGTTCTGTTGACCTCAGATACCGTGCTTTCCAGGAATAGTTCCTAAGACTCCTGGCTTGGTTCATATCCTTTGGGGGCACAAACATGGGGCTCTTAGTCTGTCCTTGAGGGGAATTTAAGGCTTGGGCAGGGAAGTCTTTCCTTTACCTTCTTCTTCACTTTCTGAGCACCAGCCCTATAGTGGTCACTGTCATGGGCACTGGGGCTGGATAATGAAATGACCACAACATTACTCTGCCATTTTGTAGAAGTCTAGGGACCAAGCAGAGGCTGTGGGCAGACTTTCATCATAGTCTGAATGATGTGTTAAGGAGGACGGAGTCACCTTCTCTCCAGAAGAGGCTGTAAAGTAGTCCTGTCTCAGCCTCCCAAGTGCAGGGATTACAGGAGTGTGCCACCATGCCCAGCTTTTCTTTTTAGTTTTTTGGAGACAGGGTCTTGCTGTGTAGTCCAGGTTTGCCTTGAACTCATAGCAGTCTTGCCTTGTTTCCCAAGTGCTGGGATGACAGACAAGTACCACTGGGTCTGGCACTCTATACATCTTCTGTGGCTGTATTTATGAATGGTTTACTCAGTGGTGGAAGTATTTCCTATACAGTCAAAGACAACTCCAAATTTTGATTTTAAAGTTGGGATGAGGATAGTATGCTCCTATAATGGTGGACCATCTTGAACATTCTTTTGCAAAGCAGATACTGCTTGGGGGGCTTCAACTATGGTGTCATGGTGAGGCTACCTCATTTGCAGCCTAGAGTGCTGAGATGCTGCATGCTGTACACAGTGCTACATACAGGAATATTCAGTGCACATCAGGAAGGGGACCTGGCTTGGACCTTCAGCTCTGATTGCGTGGGTGAGACACAGAGCTTGGTATTTCCTCAGCACATCTCTGACTGCCAGTCAGCAGAGATGTTACATGTTGGTTTCACATACTCACCCCCCACCCCAGGATTATCTAGTGGTTTTACTTTGTTGTATAAAAAGGGGAGAGGGAACAAAGCAGTTCTATCTTGTCCACATGTTTGGAGAGCCCATCAAGGGCATATGCATCCCCAACTCTCCTGAGCCTGGTGAGGAGGATGGGAAAGTGCAGAAGAGATGTCTTACATCACTTTTTCTACCTGGTTCTTCCTTCTGCACCCTAAATCTAGGGAACTAAGGCAGCCACTTCAGCTGGCCTCACTACCTCTCATCTCCCTTTTCATGCTGCTGAGCCCATCTTCCCCAGGTCCCACAGTGGCCCTGTGCCACTGCTTAGGAAGCTGCAGTGTGTCCTTGAAAGCCTCAAAAAGTAGCTCTGCACTGATTGACACATGCAGTCTCCTGAGCAGGCCACACGCAGGTCTCCTGCTGTGCCTCCCTTCCTTTGTCTACCATAGGGAGAGCCTTTCTCCCATGACAGACTGTGAGACAGCTCCTTGCCAATCCTGTGTGTGCATGCTCTATCCCTTTGCTGGGTACTTATTGGTACCATTGTGGGTTAGAGTAGGAGACTGTTCTCTTCAGCTGCTGTGAATTCTGAGGCTCACAGCCTGACTTACTCATCCTTGTACCATGTGGGTCCTTGCTCAGGGTCCTGCCTACAATGAAGAGTCTGTCACCAATGGGAAGAGGTAAGGGAAGGATTTGTTCTGGCTAAACCTACCTCCTGAGGCTACTTTGCTGCCCTTCTCTAAGACAGGATAAGCTCCCTGCCCTCCACACTCCATACTCCTATACCTGCTTCTTCCTTTACCTTCCTTGAGATCCCTCAAGGATTTCCATGGTAACTCACCTTTGCTGGTTATTGGACCAGAGGCACAAGCCCAGCCACATCTATTCCTTTTACCCCTCAGTCTGGGTCCTTTTACATAATGACTTCTCATCAAGATGTGCTCCTGTTCTACTTTTAAATTGTTAGCCTGGCAAGTTCCTTCCCATGGGCGAGAAGTATGTTTAGAGTCCAAGACAATATATAGCATGTAGGCTTTAAAATCAGTGTTTCCTTTTCTGTAAAATGGAATAACTACTATTATGTAGTACTGTCTTGAGGATTGAATGAGTTACTGTGAGTGAAGCTTAGTTCCTGAGACATATAAAGGTTTATCAATCAGCACTGGTCCTATTAATTCGGGTAGTGACTAAGCTGGGTGTCACTGTAACTTCTAAAAACTCACAAGTGGGACTTCAGTGCCATTTTGACAACTGTGATCAGGAGCAAACAGAGCTATGACACTGGGTAGCGTCTTCTGTTTCTATCACCTGCCTTTTGTCTTCTACCTCCTCTCTCAGGCCCTCAAGCTTCTGAGGAAATAGCAGCAGTCATTCATCTATGACCAGACATGGAGGTGGACAATGGGGAGACTGTTCTGACTGGACCAGTGTGAGTCAGGGAGAAGAGGGATGGAAAAAGATTAAAAAGTAGAGAGGCCAGATGAAGGGCCCTTGGTGATGACCCCCCCCCCACCTCCATAACAGCACCTCTGCATGTACAGTGCTTCCCCTCCGTTACATTGCCTTACCCTTACTCACTCATTGCATATCCACAGCACATCTAGAGGGCTCTTGAGCCCCATACTGAGAGGATAGCAGCTAGAAAGAGCTGCAAGGGGAAAGCTGGTTTGCTGACTCCATCCAGTGGGCAGTGAGTCTCTCCTCACATCCAGCTGTGCTATTAGACTGTTAAGTCCTCTGGAGCTGCCAGTGAGTTGACGAGGAGAGAGGCAAGTAGTTCTGCCAGGTGCCAGCTGACTTCTGCCCCTTATCTGTAGATGGTATCTGCAGAGCCACAGTGCCACATGTGATAGCAGAAGTTGTACCTGCAGTTCACACCAGGTTTTATTTTGGCGTTCCTCACCTGAATTCAAAGAAACTCAGGTAGCAAACTGTTGGAAATTCCTCTGAAGAACAAGCTGTGGTTAGAGCCTCTAGGATGCACACTTGGGGGAGTCAGCAGTGTCACTACAGAGACCTGTCCTGGGGGTCCTGAATGAGTTAATGTCCCCTGCCTCTTCTATCTGCCATTTGTAACAGTTCTGTGCTGCCCATCTGCTTGCCTTGGTGAGCCATGCCCTCTGATCTTTTTGAAAAGAGTAGGTAGCTGAAGGGCAAGGAGCAGCAGCATAGTTCATATCCTTTTCCACAGGGTGCTTAGCACACTGCATAGGTGTGGAACATTGGGGGTGGTCCAGGGCAGATGTGGCACACACCTTGTAAGTAGGGATCCTTCTATCCAACTAGCCCATCTAGTGCTACCCTGGGGTTGCTATGCCCAGTACAACACAGTTCGTGCTCTAGGGAACTTTCTGTACCTTTCTGAGTGGCAGGGACAGTGACAGAAAAGAGAGCTAGGATCTGGGCCTCCCAAGTGCAGACTTCTGCACAAGTCCAAGGAAGACCAGCGTGGTGGCAGGGTTTCCCAAGAAGTCAAAAGACAGCTCTGTTCTACCGTGGGGCAAATGCCCTCCTCCTCTGTTAGCCAGCCTTTCAGCACTCCTGGGCTTTGGGCCAATACAGCCTGTGACTCAGGGCACTATTACATCCCTTCATGCTTGGCATAGGCAGGCGATGGAGGGTCACGGCCGGTCCCGCTTCTGCCCCCTGGCCCTGGCAATCTGCCTGAGCCCCAGCCAGCTGTAGTCCTACCCAGGCAAACGGAGCAGGGTCTCGCGCAGCTGCAGGAGCTTTGCGGAGCTGCGCGTGCGTGTGCGTGTGCGCGGGGTTCTGGAGGTGGGATGTGGGGGTGGTAGGGAGGGCGCGCACCCTTTGGAGCCCCGAGTGCTTTCCCACTGTGTGCTTCTGTTTCGGGTCCCTCACCCTAGTGCGGTAGCTCACCCCAGGTGCACAAGGTGTAGGGTGCATGCGTTAGTGGCCGGGAGACCGTGTGTTTTGGGCTGTGGGCTGGACAAACCCAGCGGAGGGGGCAGCGGGCCACACTTCCTTTTCCAGTCCTCCCAGACTGCTCCTTTGCTTCCTTGGGTCACCGGTCCCACCAGCCATCCCTCTGCTCTCGCCGTTCTCTTCCTTGTGTGAGAGACCAGCACCTTTCAGTGTGGCTCCGTGTCCCTAGCCCGAGCCCTGGAGTTTAGTGAGCCCTTGTGCACTGGTGTAGGCACACGGCGGAGCTTGCATCCTATTCGAGACTCTGTTATGGGGGTGGGAGGGGCAGGAGGAACGGGGGTGCGAGGGGGGCGTTCTACAGGGCCACGCAGCAGTGTGCCTATTGGCCAAATGGAAACCAGGGGCGGGACCGAGGCAGGGAGGGGGCTCTGGGGTTTCAGAGCTCAAGTCGGTCGAGGGTTCCGCAGAGAAAGCCCGGTGGTGCAGCTGCCACGGTCCCAGCCTGTGCCTGCTGCACGCCGCTGCCGCAGCCGCAGCCCAGCCGGGCGGCAGCTCCGCAGAGTCGGCGCAGGGGAGGCGGGGCACCTACGAGGCGAGGCTCATTGTAGGCTCCGCCGGTGAGCGGTTGCCCTGTAAAAGAACGGTCATCAGCAGCCTCCCCAACCGCCCAGTGGCCCGGCAGGCCAGTGCCCAGAGTGCTAGAGCGCAGAGCCGCGTGGTGGCGCAGAGCCTTGCGGGCTGGGAGCGGGTGCCGTCCCGCAGTAGCGGGACTTGGGCTCTGGCTCAGGCGCGCAGTGAGTGCACCCGCCGGGCCCGAGGTCCTGTGCAGACCCCGTGCCCGCCTGTACTCGGGTGCCTCCCCAGCCCCACTACGGGAGCGATGCCCCCCGCTCCCCACATCCTCCAAGAACGACGAGAACATGGAGAAGTCGAGTAGTGAAGACTCTTCGATCCACCGGAGTCCATCTTTGGACAGCAAGGACTCGGACTTTGCCAAGCCGTCCACCTCTGGCCGCCCATTTAGTCACGGCTTCACGGCCGGCGCCTTCTACGGCACCGCGGGCTCTCGGGGCCAGAGTCGCGCCGAGGCTGGTGTGAAAACTGACAAGTACAATGCACCCAAAGGCAGCAAGTACGTGGTGTTTTACCTGGACCTGTCCTTTGTGTTCCTCCTAGAATTTAAGAAGTGCAACATGGCCAGAGGCTGCCTCTGCTGCTTGAAGTACATGATGTTTCTCTTCAATTTAATATTCTGGGTAAGTCCTAGCATTGGTTCCCTTCTCCTCTCCTCTCCAGCGTAGTAGCTGAATGCTTGCTCCACTCTGCTCATTCTTTATACTGCATTGCTCTGGTAAGTGTTTTTTTTTTTTTTTTTTTTACACTTTCTCCCACCCCCTTTGATGCTTCTCTGTCTTTCTCTCTTCCCTCAGTGGCTGAATGGAGGGTCCAACTTACCTGTCTTCCAGAAGAGACTTGCTCTACTCCTGGAAGGGTAGCAGACTTTGTTACCATCTCCTCTCCCATTTAGAAAACCCGTGTGTGCCTCAGACCCCACACCATAGCAGTGGCAGGGTCAGAATTTGTAACAGCCGTGACCCTGTACTGGCCGAGGACACATGTGAGGAGGATGTTCTGAGTTTCTTTCTGTATCACTCTGAATGTTCAATCTGCAGCATATAATGGGCTGTTTGGCAGGAGTGTAGAGGTCTCACCTCTGTGCCTTTAGTGATTCCAGGGAGGAGGAGGAAGAACCCCTGTTCTGAACTGAGCTGGGGCTGATGTAAGGAGGAGGGGCTGGGGGCATGCTGCCATCCGGTGTCTGGCTGCTGCTTTTGAAGGATTGTAGTTAACTGGGCTGCCACATGCTCCCAGGCTCTGGGACTGGAAGGGACAAAGAGAGACAGTCAGCGGTTCTCCGACCTTGGTGAGGTTGTTTTCTGAAGAAAGTCAGTGGATGGGGCAGGTTGGGATTGTTCTTTGCCCTCTGTAGGCTACTAGAGGCAGTGTGTGCGTAAGAAATGACAGGCAGATTTAGTGAAACTTCTTGAGTGTATCTCTGTTCTTTTATCCTGACTGCTGCTTCTTCCTTTCTTTCCTGGACCCTGGACACTGCCAACACGGATGTTTAGCTCAGCCTCAAAGCTTAGCCTGCCTTTTGGAGACTGTCAACCTCAGCCTCAGCTTCCTGGGCATGGTCCAGGAGGAGCACTGGGGCAATAGAGTCATTTGAGTGGGGTTAGGTGGAAGCAGTTGAGCTGTGTTCATCTTGTGTGGGTGACTGTAGTTGAAGAACTTTTGTGTGGTACATGTGAAGGGAGAGTTCCAGCCCATTAAAGAAGAGGACGGGCTGCTGGTCTTGCTCTGCACCAGCTTTGGTAAGATTTTGGGCTGCTCATTTTTTTGGTGCGTTACAGTCTGGGCTCCCTGTCCCATGGGGCGGGCATGTGAAGCTCTCTTCACTGTCCCCTACGCTCCTGTGTATTATCCTGGATGGGGCAGTGAAGCGCCTGGGGTTGTGTGTGTGTTCGTTCGTTCGTTCGTTCCTTCTTTCTTTCTTTCAAATGTATTTAGTACAGGGTCTCACTATACAGTTCGGACTGGTAGTGATTCTTCTGTTTTCAGCCTCCCAAGTACTGAAATTATAGGTGTGTGCCACCACACACAGTTTCAGTTGCCATCTCAGCGCCTGCCAGGAGTGGGGCCGGCATGTCATCCTGGGGATCGAACTACAGTCCCTGTGTCTGCCTAAGCAGAAGCTTTAATTCGCTGGGCTATCTGGCCAGCCCTAGGTGTACTATCTTTTCCAAAATGGCCTGAGATTCCTTGATTGAACTTGTCAAATGGCTCTGTGGGTTGGACCCTTCTGCTACTGCAGTTAGAATGTTCAGCCATGTGGCTAGGGTTCTATGGAAGGTGAGGCAGATACTCTGGTTTCTTTTTCTTTTCTTTTTTCTTTTTTGGCAGAACAGGGGATTGAACTCAGGCCCTTGTGCTTGCCAGGCAAGCACTTACTCTACTGAGCCATCTTCCCAGCTCTGATTTCTTTTTCGGATGGCAAAAACCTTTGACTATCAAGGATTCTGTAGGAACTCTGGGGTAAGTGCCTTTTGATCCCTTGACTTCTGTGCCAGTATCATATTTCCAGTGCCTTTTAGTCAGCACAAATGCTGTCATTTTTGTTTTTCACTTCTTTTACTCTCCTTTTTCATGCCTGCCCCTTTGGTTGTCATTGTTCCAACCTGGGTTATATATGGGCACTTTAATATTAAGGAGTACTCAGCGATGGTCACAGTGCCTTTGGTCATATCTCCCACCTCAGCTGCGTTTGTTTCTCCCCACCCCACTCTGCCACCTGCTGGTTGAAGTTGGTATAACTGCTTGTGGTAACGAAGGTTCCAACTTGGTTTGGGGACCTCCTGACACAGTGTCTGTGCTATGCACAGAGCTGGTGCTAATGACATGTTTGTGAATGAATGGATCGATGGCCAGGGCTGTGAATCACATATATTATTATGTGGCGGGGATTCCCAAGTCTCACTTGATGTGGTCAAAAAGTTACATATCAAACTTGCCTATATAGGCTTTCCTGATCTTAACTAGCAGGTGGTGGACAAGTGACTCCATCTTCCCTTAAGAGAGTGGCAGCAATTAATGAACTAGCTGATGAACTGTCCTTCTTTTATGGTCTATAGTGAAAGAACTTGCTGTCTCGTCCCAACTAGTGTTGATAATACTCTAATAAGACAAGGAATTATTCCTTCCTGGTCCCTGATTTTTTGATTACTTCATATTTTTAGAATTCCCATGGCAAGCTATGAGCCAGGAAATATCAAGACCTGATTATTTTATGCTAGTAGCATTTGAGATAGTAAAGTAAGATGTGGATCTTGGGAAAGATGGAAAATTTGCCAGAGGAGAAATGGGCGCTTGTGTGAGTATTAGTGTTTGTTGGGGGCTTGGGGATGATATGTCACTGTTTCACTCAAGTGAAGAGTTCTTGTAGGCAGGGGCTCCTCAGCCTGTTGTGGGGGAAGAACGGAGAAGGGCCTGATTGACAAGAGAAGAACTGTTGAGGTATGTCTGCAGCAACGCCCCCATAGGCCTCTACTGTTGCCTGGCCACACTTAAATGGTGGGTAGGGTAGGCTGGGCTGGGCAGGTAAGGGAAAGTCTCAGGAGAAGGTGAGGGAGAGGGTAGGGCCTGGGGAGAGGCACAGGAACAAATCCAGGAGAAATTGTTAGAAATTATATAGCCATTACTTGTTTTAATCTCATGGCTGAGATTCCAAAAGCTTTTCTGAAGCATTAGAGTTGAACTTGAGACCTGTAATCAATAGGCAGAGTTCTTTCCATAGATCCAGAGCCTACCTGGTAGTTCTCCAAGCCTCCTGCTGCTGCCATACCCACTGCCTCTTCTAAGCTTTTCCAGAGGATCCCTGGCCTGGAAGAGAGATGCATCAGACTGCAGCCCTTCACAGGCCTGCTGAGTACCTGCTTCCTGGCCACTGGGTGGAGCTTTGAGGGTGCTGGTATTGGTGAGAGCCTGGTGACATCATGGGGGAGGGGCAGGATGGGAGAGGGAGCTCTGCAGCCAGCACTCCTCCTTACTAAGAAAAGGGCAGGTGCCTCCCAGGCTGCTGGGCGCCTGCCTGCTGGTGGTGGTCCAGGTCTACTTCTGGAACGTTGACTGCAGCCAGATTATGCTAGCCACATTGGCAGCCCAGTGCACTATGGGAGCTTGGGGCACCTAGGAGGGCAGCATCACTTTAGGGCTTGGGGACCTGTTACAGCTGGAATCAGTGATCACTCCTAACTGAATCTCTTCCTCTTTGTTCCCTGAATTTCCCACCCTGATTCTTGGGCCAAAGAGAGTGCTGGCTTCTTGGGTGATAGGCTAAGCCTAAACTAGGACAGAACATTTTCCATACTGTCCATCACTGATGAAATCCATTCTTTTTTTTTTTTTTTTTTGGTGGAACCTGGGATTGAACTCAGGCCCTTGCGCTTGCCAGGGAAGCACTTATTCCACTGAGCCATCTCCCTGGCCTGAAATCCATTCTTAAGGTATTTGTTCCAGCAGAGGAAGCCATTTGAGGCATTTCCCTCAGTTATTCCATCTCTGGATCCTCCCAGAGCTGTCTGTTAGAACAGTGTAGGTAGAGATGAAGTGAATCTAAACTCCTGAGAGTGGAGGAAGCTCAGGGCTTTGCTAGAAGGAAAGGAAGAGAAGGTATATGGGGAGGGCTGCAAAGGGAACTTCTAAATGTAGGGGCCCATATCCTCATCTCAGATGGCAAATCATGATCTCACCCTAGTTCTTCCAAACCTCAAGTCAAGTTTCTTTGTGATACAAAGGGTCAAGGACTGATTGCTCTCATAATTGCCACTTGGAATAATGATCATTTTTCATACTGGCCAGCAGATCTATTCCCATCACTTTAAATCATAGTTGGCAGAGTGGTGACATTTTGGCCTCACTAGAAAGTCTGTTCCTTGTGGATTGCTCCCTTAGTAAAGGTCAATTAGGCTAGTAGATAGTGTTCAGTGAACCTGTTTGAATACAGGAAGGGTTGGCATGAGATAACCACAGGCTGAGAGCTGAGTAGATCCCCATGAACTTTCCCGAGTGGGGTCAGGCTGCTCAGGCTGCCCCTGCTGGTGGGTGCTTTGGTGGTACATGTTCTTTAACTGGCCTGGCTGTCTGAGGACTCTGGGCTGGGGTCTGTGCACCTTGAGCATCATGGGCAGGTGCTGTAGGGTGCGTTCTATTAATGAATGGGGTTTGAGGGGGTTTCTTAGCCGGGAGCTCAGGTTCAGACAGCCTCACTGAGAAGAGGCTGGACTAGGATCAAGAAGCATTTGGGGCTTCCAAAAGTCTCAGGGTGAGGCATGCAGGTTGGCTCCCCACAGGGATGCTACAGACCAATCTCCTGGGTGAGTCAGGCCTGGCTCTGCGTGGAGGCAGGGGGACAAGATGAAGGGCCGGGTAGATACCCTGAGAGACTCCTGGAATGTGGCCGAGAGAGAATGCCAGCTGTGTGTTTGCTTCCTTTCCAAAGCATTAAAATTTAAACTTCCTTGTCTTAATATCTATTTTTAAATCATGTCAGAGCCAGCATTGGTGTCAGTCAAGAGGGGGTGGGGAAGAGGGGGTGGAAGAGAGGCAGCCTTAGCTGAAGCAGTGTAAGGGCTTTCTCCACCTTGAGGAGAGAGGGCCCAAGCCTGCCTACCTGTCTGTAAGAACACAGTGAATAGCA